CCAAAGGACAGTAGCCTCTGGTTAGATGGGTCCTGTTAATTTGGATTTTATTGGTTTTATATTTGCTTATATTTAATATTTTTGGCTTTATAGACCCATAATTACAGAAGCATGTGTACATTTTTCTACATTTTTCTCATTACAGAAGTAAACAGAAGTACTTACCTAATTGTATAGATCATTGTAAAGCCATAACAAATGCTATGTAGCATGCTTTCTATACAAACATATAGAACATGTTTTGCATGTGTTATGTATGGCATCTGTGTCCATGAGATGATGCAAAGATCACTGTATAGCCATAACATATGATATACAGTGCGTAGCATATATAGCCTATACTATAGAATGTGCTATGAGTATATTATATAGGGTATGTGTATGATTACAGTGATGGCTAATTTGAAAATATTGAAAAATATTGATTCATGGTCTTTTCCCCCATCCCACCCCCTATTTAAAAGAACTAGACTTGGCACAGCAGACCTCTCCTGTCTCACCCACTGCTTCCCTTAGCTGTGTACTTCAATAAATTCATCCTTTCTATTCTCCACTCAAAAGAAAGAGGGGAAGGAAGGAAAGATGTAATAAATAAATAAAAGAATTAAGGGGCCTCCCCTGGTGGTGCAGCGGTTGAGCGCTGGGTTGCGAGGCTGTCTGCAGCCTCTGCAGTGCCCGTTCGATCCCCGGCCACTGGCAAGAGTCCCACAAAAAAAAATAATAGCTTCTCATTGGTACCCCAACCCCTTCCCTATGAACCCCCTAACTGTGTCTGTGCAAGCTGTTCTTCCCTCCCTGCAGGGCAGCAAGTGGCTTCCTTGGCAGAGTCTTGCTCCCTCCCTTCCCATCCTTCAGTCTCACCCACTTCACACCTGTGCTGTCTGTACATGTCGCTCTAAATGTCTTTTTCCCAGAAAGGTTTTCGTTGACCCTGTCCCCTCCATCTAAATTAGGACTCCTCCATCTCCCGAGACTCACACCTGACAGTATCAGGCATAACTCATGTGCCCCTCTGAGTGCTCTCTCTGCCCCCAAGTCTTAGACAGATGGTTCTATGGCCATTTTGCTTGTAGCCAGTTTCCAGCCCTTGGTGCAGCTGATGCTCAGTAAGAAGGCCCTGCAGAGAGGCTCATGCCCCTCTTCTTCAGAGGTCACTTTGGCTGGACCTTGCAGATGATGGTCTTGGGGATTGTCAAGGTCATAGACTGTAGGCTGGGACGGGCGTAGGGGATGATGATTAGTGAGTCTCCAGCAGCAAGTCCTGTGCCCTGTGGTCCACATCCTTGGACCTTTGCAGTTTGCGAGCTACGTTTGTTCTTGCCTTGTTCACATAATTCCACAGTCCATACGTCGCAGCCACCACTTACCTCTGGTCCAGTCCTATCTGAATTATGTGAAATGATTTCCAGATCAATAGTTCCCAACCCCAACTTCCTGGTGAAGACTGAAGTCAACTCCTGTAAGTTCAGATGAGGGACATATTAAGGGATTCTAATGTACAGCCCAGTTGAAGAACCACTGTTTGGGGGCACACTATACTTCTGAGTTTTGTTTTTGCTTAAGGTTTTACTTACATAACAAAAAAGATGTACTTACAAAAGATGCTTGGAGAAAAAATCTTACAGTGAGAATGTGGCTGAAGGCTGATATAGATGGATACATAGGGCTGGTCAGCAGCAGGGTGAGCCTGCCTGGGTTTCCTTGTCCTTGGCTGAGTCCTTGTTCTAGAATTTGAACAGTATCTTCTCCGTGGTTGTATTTTGTTATATTCACCACAGCAGGCTAATCACTGTAACAGGCAGTCCCCAAGTCTCAAGAAGATGCCCAGGAATGGTTATTTCTTGCTCTTCATCCAGCCCCAGGTGGGAAGGAAGGAGACTTGACTTTATGCCACACGCCACTTTGTTTGGGTGATGCAGGATCCTTGAGAGCATCCAGGTGGTGGGGATGGGTAAAGAGCCCAGTCCACAAAGGGGACTTGTAGCTGCCAGTCATGATTAGTGAGCCTCCAGCAGCGAGTCCTATGACCCATGGTTCACATTCCTGGCACTTAGCAGTTTGTAAGCTACGCTTGTTCTTTGCCTTGTTCACCTACTTCCACAGTCCGTACATAGCAGCCACCACTTACCTCTGGTCCGGTCCTCTCTGGATTTTGTGAAATGATTTCTAAGAAATCATTCTTGGAATGATTAACTACCTGTTATACCAAACTGGTGCCCTATGCAAAATTGTCCGTCCAACTTTCTCATCTCCAGGTCTAAGAAATCATCCTTCTCGTTCAGTTGGCCACGTCTGTCCCTCTTACTGCTGTCCTTACAGCGGGTTTCCCCACTGTCTAAAAGAAGAATGTTCCTATTTGGAATGGTTTAGTAGGTAATTATTTGGGTCTGAAAATGCTCAAAAATTTATCCGTATGAAGTATTGGTAACAGCATTTCCAGATGAAAAAAAAAAAATCCTGCCAAATAAAAACGTTCTACTTTTAGATAATGAGGGAAACCTGTACAGCAGAGATTGCAATGTCCTGTACTTCTCTGCTGGAGGATGAAGCGGTGGGTTTGGAACATGTGATATTTCTACTTCATGGGTTTTAGCTGGTGAATTTACTCTTGGGGTTTTTTTTTGTTGTTGTTGTTTTTAAGATTCATTTATTTTTATACAAGAGCCAGGTTACAGGCCAGAGGCAGGGGAGAGTGAGAGGAATCACCAGAGACAGAGTGGGGAACAGAACAGGCAGACGGACCGAAATACACTGCTGAGGGGAGCAGCAGGTGAGACAGGAGAGGTCTGCTGCGCCATGTGGGATTCTCGCCGGCTGGCCGGGATCGAACCCATGCAGCAGAGGCTGCGGACAACTTCACAGCGCTGCGCTCAACCCGCTGCACCACCAGGGAGGCTCTACTCTCGTTTTGCTTTAATATAATTGAGTCAATGACTGCTAGGTCAGTGTTTATTTTTTTAAATATAAAGAATTCTTTAAATCTCCTCTTGTAACTTTCTTCGTTTCTCTGTTATGCATTCACTGTGTTGTTGTCCAGTGCCTCCTGGCTGCCAGCCCCTAAGCCGGCAGGTGCCAGTTATGCAGAGACAAATGCCATGGCCTGTACTAGGAAGATTGTGGTTGCTGATGGCACAAAACCTAACCATATCTGGCCTCATTTACAAGGGCCTTTGTTTTTTTTAATATTTTTTAAAGATTGATTTATTTACACAAGCACTAGGGTACAGGCCAGAGGCGCCGGAGGGTGAGAGAATCCACCAGAGACAGAGCGGGGAGCAGAACAGGCAGACGGACCAAAAGCACTGCTGAGGGGAGCAGTGGGCGAGACAGGAGAGGTCTGTCGCGGCATGTGGGAATCTCCCCAGGATGGGAGGGAATCGAACCTGTGCTGCGGAGGCTGCAGACAGCTTCATACGCTGCACTCATCCCGCTGCACCACCAGGGAGGATCCTAACAAGGGCCTTTATTATCACAACACAGGGCAGCAGGGCAGCTCCAGGATTCTGGATTCAGCCACTCATGCTGGGTGCTTCTCTGATTTTTGTGGCTTTTGCGCTCGACCTTCGGCTAGGCGTGGATCCTCACACCTCTCTGCGGCAAGGGGACATTTCTGCCTGGTCTTTTGTGTGTGCAAAGCTGCCGGGAGCCCTGAGCACCCATGAAGCTGAGTCTCATTTGCTGGAGCCTGACACCTGCCCACACCCAACGCCATCACAGGTGAAAGGAGCGGAACTACTGCTCCTGGCCCAGGCCCTGGGGAGTCCCTCGTGGCTCAAGGGACCGAGACAGACGTGGAGACTGTGGTCTCCGAGCCAGCTCCTCACCTGCATTACACGTGCTGATCATTCACCGTGTTTTCTGCAAAACCCCTTTTTCTGGTACCTTCTCCGAGCCTGGCTGCTGCTGTAGAATTTCTGTGGAGCTCACATGTCTCTCTTGCCCATGTAGCAATTAACCCTCTGCCTTGTGGTCACGCTGGCCTTGCCGTCCTATCCCCTGTCTTTGGTCCACTGCAAACTCCTTGCCCTTTTACTACCTGTGGTACCAACCCGGCGCCTACGCAAAGTGGATCGTCCGTCCAACTTTCTCTTCTCCATTCCTTTCTTCCCTTGTCCAGCTGCTTGACCTTGTCCTGGACCTGCTCACCACAGGCCTAGAGTACCACATGGCCAGTCACCTGGGGACCCCGCAGTCCTTCTGGGGTGATACCTCCAGAGGCCTGTCCTCCTCACACCTGCATCTGTGGGCTTCTGAGCTGGGGCTCGCATCATCCCTCACCCCACTCTTCTCCTTCCCTCTTTGCTTCGCTGCGGTTTGCCAGTCCTTTCAGGCACACTCATCCTTCATCTCCCCCTCTCTCTGCTCCCCTCTGCACTGCTGCATCTCTTCTTCCCCGCCCCTAGTCTTGGACTCAGACTTGGTGTCAAATTCTGACACAGATGCATGGCCACTGCCGCCCTCACAGATGGTGGTGATCCAGAGCTGGGGTGCGGCCTAGAGACCGACAAGCTCATCCCCTGTGCATCCCATAATAGGAGGGATCGTATCTGGAGTCGCCGTTACCTGCCTGAGGTTTCCCAGGAAGATGCCACCCACGTGCTCATGCTTATGTTTGCTAACAAATAGCAAACATTTACCCTCCCAGAGCCCGCCACCTGCCAGCTGTCGGGAGACCAGTGAACAGCAGTCAGATCCCTGCTTTCTGCAGCTACCCCCCCCCCCCCCCCCCGGCCAGGAAAGGTGCCGCGCATCGCATTACCTTAACTTGACTTCGTAAAGGTAGTTCCACCCGCGTCGTGCTGAGTGAGGCCTGCAGGTACCAGACACAGGCCCAGGCCCGCAGGAGAGGGGATGCGGCCGCCTTGTGCTCCACTCTCGGGCCTGGCATCTTCATCTCCCTTCCTACCTCCCAGCAGCTGTCGGAAGGGCCGTCGGCCAAGCTGTGTTGTTGCTAAATCAGTTCTGCTTCGAAGCACAAACCTCTGCCTTTTGTCTTTCAGTGGTGAGAGTGGGGCGGGCAAAACCGAAAGTACTAAGTTGATCCTCAAGTTCTTATCAGTCATCAGCCAGCAGTCTTTGGAGTTGTCCTTCAAGGCGGATTCGTCCTGTGTGGAACAAGCTATTCTTGAAAGCAGGTATTTTTTTACGGTGTTTTCTCATTTCCTGCCACAGTCTGGCTTCCGTCGGAAGAGTCCACATTTGTCAGTTTTTCGCTCTTTCTTCTCTTGAATGATTCCTTGAGGAAAAGTCTTGACAAGCATGCCCCTGGGTTGGGTTTGGGTGGTGAGTGGTTCTGGGGATCCGTCTGCAGCTGCCTCCTGCGGCAGAGCCTTTGTGGGGCCTGGTTCTCAGCAGAAATGTCAGCCTCTATCCACTGGACAGAGGGGCAGCCTTGGCACGGACGGAGCACGACCCGTCCTGCTTCCAGCCTGTAGGAGGCCGTGTGCCTCTATAACAGGAGTGATCCAGCTGGGTGGCACCCTCGTGGGCACAGGTGCCAAAGATCTGCCTTTGAGGCAGTGAGCCCGGGACCTTTGAAAGGGCCATGTGGTGAGGCAGCCTCGGAACTTTCATTAAAAACATGTCACTGCCCAACATCTGATTGGTGCCCGAGATTTTAGAACCGAGGGGGACGTTTCTTATGCTGTTGCTTAGAAATGAGTCCGAAGTCTGCAGCCTGGTGGCCGTATCTGGCAACCTGGGGTTTTGGGGTTTTCTTATTTTAGCATCCAAACCGGTTTTTTAATTATAGTAAAATATAACAAAGTAGATCATTCTGACCATTTTTTAGGGTACAGCTCAGTGTCACTAAGTGCATTTCCATTTTCCTGCAACCGTATCACTGTCTCAAAGGTTTTCTTCCTCCGCCTGCAGCCTGATTTTATAAATAGTTTAATGAGGACGCAGACATGCCTACTTGTTTACTTATTATTTACAGCTGCTTTCAAGCTGTAGCAGCTCAGCTGACAGGGACAAACTCCTGTCTGAGTTTTGAAAATATTATATACAGTAAGATACTTGGACGGAAAGACAGACCACATTCACACAACATGTATTGTGGTGTAGTGCTATTGTCCTGTTTTACTATTAATCTCTCATTGTGCCTAAGTTATAAGTTAAACTTTATCGTAGATACAGTATAGAGGCAAGATCCTAACCCATGGAGGATTTGGTATGACTCACAGTTTCAGGCATCCATGGAGGTCTTGGGATGTAGCGCCTGTAGTCCCCACTGCTGTAGTAGCAAAACAGACCTATAGAACTAGAAATATTTAATTAAGTGCTTTACAGAAAAATTCACCAGACCTCTGTCCTCGCCTGACCCCATTTTACAGTTGGAGACCCACAGGAATTAGAAGAATCACCCCCGGGGCAGGCCAAGGATGGGTGACATGTCCCGAGTTCTCCGTTGCTAGAATTTCAGTGGGGACTTTCTATGCCATCCTGGGCTTATGAATATAAGCCCCTGCTGCTTCTGCAGGGCCCTCCCATCCTGGCCTCCCATACCCCATCCTTTGCTGCACAGCCCACCCAGAGAGCTCTCATCCCAAATGGCTGTGCGGTACTAACCCATTTGGAAATTCTGATCCTTCTGCAAAGAGTCATCCCAGAGCCTCTGGTTTTCTGATTTTTCTGCAGTTGTACATTTTGACATTTGTGAGAAATGTTCTTTTCGTGTTTAGAATTATAACCCGCTGCTTTCCTCGCTTTCTCGGCAGCCCAATCATGGAAGCTTTCGGCAATGCCAAGACGGTGTATAACAACAACTCCAGCCGCTTCGGGAAGTTTGTTCAGCTGAGCATCTGCCAGGAGGGAAATATTCAGGGCGGGAAAATTGTAGATTGTATCCTGTTTCATTGTGCTGTCGTCAGGAGTGGTAGTGTGTGATTCTGTGTGAAAATGGTTCTTATCATAAGGACACACGAAGTGCGAATGGAATATTTCTTTCTGGCTCTACCTACTGCTCCAGTACAACTAGGCTTGACCTGTTAATCATTCTCGGAGATAAAGACCTAAATTTCTTTGGGAGATCTTCAGAGATCATGTCCATAATCAGAAAAACCAGCTTCACCATCAAACAGCCAGTATTTGTGGCTTGAAATCAATCTGTCGATTGAGGTAGCCCAGTATCTAAGAGTGTCATGTAACATGATGTTTGAAAATGAGTTTAGCATGAGCATGGCAGTAGTGCGTCTGTGATAACAGAGGTCTCCACTAGTATATGGCAAACGTTATCAGGTAGACTCATTACTTGTCTTTCAGCACCGAAAAATCTCAGTGTCAAAGGAACAGGGAATTGCAATTATATAGTAACAAAGAAAAAAAAGTTACAGGCTAACTGAGTGTGTCCTTCTTCATTTTGTTCCTTAACTTGCCATTGTTTTTCACATGAAGATTTATTAGAAAAAGTAAGTCAACTTGATTGTATTCCATTTTCTTCCACCATAACAATTTTTGGAAATTAGGAACCTCTCTGCATAGAAATCTGATTTCTCTCCACAGAACCGAGTAGTAAGGCAAAATCCGGGGGAGCGGAATTATCATATATTCTATGCGCTGCTGGCAGGGCTGGACCATGAGCAGAGAGGTGAGTCAGTGAGGCAGCAGTGGAGAACACGAATTAGCAACTCGCTCTCCCTGCTAAAACACTCGCTAAATGAGAAGACGTCTGATTGGACGTTGTTAATATTGCACCAAATAAAACAAAATGTATAGTAGTGCCAAAAGATGTTTCCCCTAGAAATATGATTGTGGAGGGAGGACCCAGTGGCCTAGATAAAGGACTATGGGTGCTTGGGTGGTGAGGGTGCGTTGTGACCCTGCTCCCCTAAATCATATACAGTGTTATAAACCAACGTTGCCTCAATCAATAAAATATTTTTTAAAAGTTGAGTTTACTTTATAGCTAAATAATCTAAAGGCGAAATCATCAATTGAAAGTCTTTAAACTTTTTGTCTTTGAAGTCTTGGTATTTTGCTGACATTAAGGGTATTTGTAAACATATATAATGTATAGTATCTAGTTGGCCTTTTAAACCACACCCAAAGAAAACTAATTTCTAAACATTTGATTTTCAGGAGAAAACCAAACAGGTTCCTCATCAGTTATTTTTTCAATAATATTTAGCTTAAATTATTTCCATTTTCCCTAGCCAAGAGAGAACCTTATTTTCTCTTAATAAAGGGCCTTGAGGAGCGTACAGTTCTGTGTATCATTTATTTTTCTAGATCACAAAGTTGACTGCTTAGGATTCTGCCTCCTCGTAGCCCACCAACTACTGACATGCTTTCCTTTTTCTTTTTGTAGAAGAATTTTATTTATCTGTGCCAGAAAACTACCACTACTTGAACCAGTCTGGATGTATGAAAGACAAGACAATCAATGACCAGGATTCTTTTCAGGAAGTTATTGTAAGTCAGGTTTATTTTCTCCTAATGAGTTCATTTGCTGTTTGAAAAATAAGTTGTTGTTGTTGTTTTTTTTTTTTATAAAAATAGAAGCAATGATATTTGTGCCACTGTGTAAGAATAAGTACTTTCTTGTCCCAAATCATGGTGGAGTCCAGGTTACAGGGAACTTCCAGGGAGCCTCTTTCTTGAGAGGACAGGGGTGTCATTCAGAGTGGATGGTGGGTGACCTGGGACAGCACATTCAAAAAACCAAACCAGGCCAAACCCTGTGCTTGGCAGTGAAGCAAGCAAATCCTGTGTTTCTGCGCTTACAAGTAAGATTTTTTGAATGGTTTCCATATCTGAAAACTATGTCAGTTACTCACCCAGGCAACTTTGAGTCTGCTCTGGTTCTGCAGCCTCCTGATGCCAGCTTTGACTGCAGGGACAGCCATCACTTCAGATTCAGAGGTGTGGGCATGTGCCATCCAGTACATTCTGGAATGTCAGAGGGTGCTATTATGACTGCAGGTGGGAGGCCTGATCACAGCATCTTGAACAGCCCAACCTGACTGGGTATGGCTGGTAGATTTCCCCAGCATGGTCTCAGTTCCTTTGCCAGAGTCGTAACTAGATCATTTCGGTACAGTGGATGTTATAACGATCCAACCTCAAAGCACAGCCAGCACCAATGGGGACTCTGATTGCTCAGCCACGTGCTCTGTTCTGTGCTCAGAGAGGTCGGCGACTAGCCTAACCACACACAGGATCTGCTGAGCCCATCATGAAACAGTCTAACTCACACCTCTCATTTTCACCCCTGGGGCAGGGGGTGCAGCTGAGAATCGTCTTTCTCCATTGCTGCCAATGTCCCTGTTCCATGTTTGCAGTATATATTTATATTAGCAAATTTGTATATATTTATATTAGCACAGAGAAAATTTAGAACCCAGTTCACACCTTGGAATGAGGACAAGGTTGACGAGAGTGGGAGCCTTATTGTTAATTATACTTCTCTGGGGCCTCCCCTGGTGGCGCAGCGCTTGAGTGCTGGGTTGCGAGGCTGCCAGCAGCCTCTGCAGCACCGGTTCAATCCCCGGCCACTGGCGAGGGTCCCACAAAAAAAAAAAAAAAAAAAGTTCTCTGTAAACTGGTTGGTTCAGGTAACAATATTACTTTTATTTTGACAGCTGTGGCATAGATTTATATTTGCCTATATAATATCCATCTTCCTCATTCTCTTTATTGTCAGAAGTCCTTTGCCCCTGAGAACGATCACATTTCTCACCTGCTTTTTTAGCCAGATAGGGTCATGTCATCAAGTTCCGGCCAGTGGGGTATATTAGATGTTTTGTGTGGGATTTCAAAGAAAGCTCCTTAATAGGGAGAAGCTGAGTCCTTGTGGAATGCAATCAAAGCATGTTTGCAAATGGGTCTACATAGTCTTCATTTCCCGATGTCTAACATGTGCATCTTTAAACTGAATATGAGATTTAAAACATCCCTGGCTCTCCCCTCCCAATCACCTTCCCCTCCACATCCCTTTATCTTGTTGTTTACAACCCAGAGCAGGAGGGTTTCACTGTCTTTTTTGAATGTGTGAACACATGGTCCCCCTGTCACCCCTTTGGCTGTGAACCTTTGGCAGCATGGGATTTGACTCTGCAAGATGGGTTTTATAAAATGCTTTAAGTACTTAAAATTTTCTTTCCCAATTTTACCATGGCCCACAGACTTCTGTCACCACTCAAGCTTCCTCCATTCGCAATTCATTTGTCATTGCCTCTGCTGAAAAGATTATGTATTGGGAGAAACATGAAAACTCGTTTTTGATGAATAGGGCCAAAAAAGACATGTCTTAGTATTTTTCCCCTTTTTTGTTTTGTTCTTTCTTGAACCTGAAGAATAAGACTTTGAGATAAAAGGCTATTGTTGGACGTGACAGACTCCTGGTTATCCAAGTGGGGGGTCTCACTGCACACCCCAGATGAACTCAGTCACTGGCCACTAGGGTGCATGGGCAGGAGACCAGGCTGGCCAGGAGCCTGAAGTCACACTCGTGGCTTTACCTCTTCTGTCCACTAGGAGCAGCATTTTCTGATTCCAAATCATCTATTTTTTTTTTCTGTTGGCGACCAGTCAACTTTTGGGGCTTAGACATAGTTTTTGTGGTTGCTGGCTTTTATTTCTAAATTAAGATAACAGGGCCTCCCTGGTGGTGCAAGGGGTTAAGCACCGCACTATGTAGCAATCCGCAGCCTCTGCAGCACGAGTTCAATACCCGGCCGGCCAGGGAGATGCCCACATGGGGTGGCAGACCTCTCCTGTCACACTGTTCCTCTTAGCAGTGCACTTCAGTCAATCTGCCTGTTCTGTTCCCCACTCTGTCTCTGGTGAATCCTCTCCCCCCCTCCTCCTTGCATCTCTGACCTGTACCCCAACTCTTATATGCATAAATAAATAAATCTTTAAAAAAATAAATAAAGGTAACAGGTTTTGGCATTTGGAATTTGCTCTTATGACATAAGGCTATATAGAACATCTAGAAAGAAAGAAAAATGGATCCATGACATTGAGGTAATAGATATCTACAACAAACAAAAATAATGTATTCTTAGGATACTTTAAAATAAATGAGTTGCTATTAGTGACTGGAAATAGTTTTTCATCCTGACTGAAAATTTTTTGCTATTAACATTCTGGAACTTCTAAACAATGCATTGGGTGGGGGGAGAGGAGTAATGCAGAGTTTTCAGAAGGAAGAGGAAAAATAATTTTTTTCTAAAAAGAAACCCACAAGAATCATAAATCGGCAAATGCATAAATAATTTTTGTTAATGGCCATAAAAACCCAGTGCAGCAATAACAACACGTCCTTGCTTATTTAGTAATATGGAAACACTTGCTTATTACATAATGAGGGAGGCAGGTGGAATGCAGCACCAAAGAATCCCTTTATTTTAACAATAAGTTTTTCTATACCATGTATATAATGTAGTAATTATAATGTGCAAAAAAAAAGACAAAAATATACCAAACATGTTATCTCATGAAGCAGGACTCTGGGATTTTTGTCTTATTCTTTATCATTCTCCTCTTATATGTTTATAATGACTATGTCAGCTTCAGTGAGGATACTATATTATAGGGTTACATTCCTAAAATGGTGATTCCCATAATATAGGATTATAATAAGTATCGTTGTCCATATCAGCCCGCCCAACTTTCTGCCTTGCATGCTGCAGCCAGGAGTGTTAGAGAAATGGCTAACAGGAATTAAAACAGCTACAACCGATTGTACACCTCCAGCACTGTCTGAGCACCAGCTGTATACCTTCACATTGTCCGAGCACCTGCAGTGTGTAGCCTTGTGTAGCTTCTGGGAGAGTGAAGTAAACAAACCACATCTAATTGCTGTATTGGCTCAAGAAATGAAACAATCGGAACAGATTGTTGTTTTTATAAGCTGTCTCCATATTTCCTCCCAAAATTTAAATACCATTTGTATTTATATCTCTGTACTTTAAATCCATAAAGTCCCTTCCCAGAGTTTTGGGGAAGGGAAAAAAGGGACCATATTCTGTTGGGGCTCAAGGACATTTGTTTATAGAATGTGTTAAAATGTTCACGGAGAGAAATTATCTCTTTGAATTATGTATGAAAATGTCACTTCTCACGTTCATTTTTAGCTACTAAAAAATCATTATTCTGCGACCTTATTTTAATGCTCACATACTCCAGTCCAAGCAGCTTTTTAAAAACATTTGCTTGTTTCATTAAGAATTTGCTTCTGGGGCCTCCCCGGTGGCGCAGCGGTTGAGCGCTGGGTTGCGAAGCTGCCCGCAGCTTCTGCATTGCCGGTTCGATCCCCGGTTGCTCCCCGGCCACCGGAGGAGGGTCCCACGTGGCGCAGACCTCTCCTGCCACCCGCTGCTCCCCTCAGCAGTGTACTTCGGTCCTTCTGCCTGCTCCGCTCCCCACTCTGGCTCTAGTGAATTCTCTCACCCTCCCGCGCTTCTGCCTGTACCCAGTGCATGTATAAATAAATAAATAAATATTTTTTTAAAAAAAAAAATTTGCTTCTGTATTTTTTGAATCCATTGCTGCCATCAACTGACATTATATAAGTACCAATGGGGTGTCCTGAGCAGCTTTAGGGGACCGAGTTTTTCCCGGGGCAGAGACAGTTGAGAGTAGACTAAATTGCAAAGCCATTTTTAATGCATTTTGGTCCAGATGAAAAGCTATTTCAAGTCAGTAGTAACAACTAACAAGTTTTATCGCCTGCATTTGACTCATCAGCATGGCAGCTGATGAAATGTGTGTGAGATGCCAAGAGACTTTGAATAGTCTGTTCCTTCTCTTACTCCATCAATACTGGACGTTTGCAGCACACCTGACCATATAGGCCCAGAAGGACCAGGACTCTACCGGGTGTGTCATGGGTATTTAACAGTGTGAAGCCATGTACACATCCACTCAAAATCACCCCATGAGTTAGGATTCATTAAGATGTAACGAGCTGATGGAGCCTCCCTGGTGGCGCAGGGGTTAAAGACAGCGCTATCAAGCTATCCCAGCCACTGCAGCATGAGTTTGATCCTCAGCCAGGATGCTGACCCACCTGGCACAGCAGACCTCTCCTGTCTTGTGTATTTCAGTAGATCTGCCTGTTCTGCTTCCCACTCTGTCTCTGGTGAATCCTCTCACTCCCGGCACCTCTGGCCTGTACCCCAGTTCTTGTGTGCATAAATAAATCTTTTTAAAAAAGAAGAGGTAAAAAGCTGGCTTCATACCCCTAGGATAGGGAATTAGAAGCCTCCATCTTTCAGCATTGGGAAACTTGGGAGTAAAAGCAAATTTATTATAAAATAGCCTAATATAGCATAACATTAGATAATAAATTATTGTCAAATTACTTGTCACTATGTCCAAATAGCCTCCTCTTCTACCATTCCCAGCATATCATTGGTTCCCAATTCGCCTGCTGGACAATTTGCTTCTGAGGCATCTCCTAGCTGAGAGTCTGAGTGAATGGGGAGTGGGGTCCCCTAAATTCACTTCTCTGTAGCCCAGCTCCCTCAGACCCTTGGTGGTGGAGATAATGTGGTGTATCTGTCCTCTCCCGCCCTCACCCCCATAGACACATTTTCACAAACACCTAATTTATGTGCTTAATTAAGACTTTATTGAACATTTTTGGTATAACTTTACCACTTTTATAACTAAATTGCTGTCTTGCGTCTCTGCACTATACTGAGAATTTCCCAGGGTTTCTTAACTCTGGAGCCATATTGTTGAGAAAAGAGGATGATGATAATAAGCCTTGAAGTGCTACACTTGCCAAAGGGGTGGAGATCGCTACTAAAAAGCTTGTAAATAGGACAGTAAAGGACCATAAATGGAGGTGGCTGCAAGTGGTTTAGTGCACACACCCACACTGGCGATAATTGGTTGCAGCTATTAAATTATCCCAAGGCATGATTAATGCAGTTACCACTTAACCACCACACTCCTTAACTAATTAACTAATTCACATAGAGTTAGACTGGAAAGTGAAGAAGCCACACATGTATTAATATAGTAAACACATTTTACTTGTTTGCTTTCATAGCTCCATATATAACTTTCGTATGAATTTTAAGTGCTTAACCAAGAATTTCTATGATGGGGCATCATTTAGAATTTTGCATTTGACATTTTGACTTTTACTCCCACTGTGAACTATTTTTTTTCATCTTCCTTTCAGTGTTTATATTTAAAGTCCAAATACATGACTTAGAAGTTTTAATTTCTGAAGTTTGAGATGAACTTGAAAGTTTTAAAAAATTAGTCTTGGTTAGGTCTTAAACACAGGAAAAAGCAATCATAACAAGAAAATACTACCTTTTATACAGTGTAGGTACTTTGTAATGATTTTGCTGATATCTGATTTGTACCTTACTGCTGTTTTAAAAGTCTTGAGAATAAGAAATTACTCTGTATTTCTTAACCACATTTCTATGCTTTCAGAATAAGTAAATTTGAATAATTATTTTCCCTAGGCGTTTTTGAAAAATGATTAATTAGCATTTGACTGACAGTTCTCAATTTTACATCATTTTCTGTGTTTGCCCTTAAACAATAATCTTCTCATCCTTGACTAAATAATTTGGTCTTTTATTTCTTGTAATCAATTTTATTGAGAGATAACATTCCATTTACAATGTTCCTGATTAAAGTATTCATTTTAATTAATTTTGAATTTCCACAACCACAGTCCAAGTAAAGGCCATTTCTGTCTCACAGCTCATGTGCCAGCTGTAAAGTGAAGGTGATTTCTGTGCCTCAAAGCTCATCTGCCCCCTCCAGGCTGCCCAGCCACTCACTGCCCAGTCTCATCCACTATAGTAGATTTGTCTTTTCTAGAATTTCATGTCTTTTCTAGAATCACACAGCCTATATTCTCCTGAGGCTAGCTCCCTTTCACTCATCCACATCACACATAATTTATTCTTTATGAGAAACTTCTATAACTTCTCTGATCCTTTTTTTTTTTCAGATATTAGTTATAAGTTTATGGACATATGTGGACCAGTGTAGCACATCATCTTATTTTCAAAAAATATATACTAATTTCTTGTACTAATGACCAGTGCGTAAATGTTCCATTCCACCAACTTTAGGTTTATCATTAAGAAAAGTGTAATTTAGGGGCCTCCTGGTGGCGCAGGAGTTAAAGTCTCAGTGCTATCAAACTTTTGCCAGCCACCTCAGAATGAGTTCAGTCCCTAGCCAGGGGGGCAACCCACATGGCACAGCAGACCTCTCCTGTCTCCCCGCTGCTCCCCTCAGCAGTGTATTTTAGTCAGTCTGCCTGTTCTGCTCCCCACTCTGTCTCTGGTGAGTCCTCTCACCCCCACCCCCTGCACCTCTGGCCTACACCCCAGTTCTTGTATGCATAAATAAATAAAAGTAAATCTTTTTTTTTTTCAAAGTGTAATTTAAAAGAAGTCACCTCAGATTTTCTTTCATTCATATGTTGGATTTCCAGGAAGGAAAACATTGTGAAGTTGTATTTCCTCCTATAAAAAGTGCCTCCTTAGTGTTATTCATGGACCCCTTACTGTAGCTACTATGCCTTCCCTGACAATTTTTTCTTCTTATTATGTTTCCCTCTCTATTGTTTCAACTTCATTGTTTTTTTCCTTGTGAACAAATTAAACTTTTCCTATTTCACATCTCTGGCTGTTTCTTTTTGCAGTTTCTATTGCTCTTAAGAGGCCTGTGGTTTCCTTAGACCAGGGTAGCGACCCGGCTCACTTTCATCAGTGATGCCAACAGTTCTGCCCTCTGTTGTATGAAGGTGGGGAAGGAAAGGTCTCATTTTTTTTCCCTGATACAGATCTGGCTCTTGAATCACCACAGAAAGTGATATGGTCGACCCAGCTCTAGTTGAGAACAGACTTAGCTTCAGTTTTGTAGATACTTGTTGGGAGCAAAGCTCCTGTAGGTACCTGTTTATTTTTCCTTCCCAAAACATTGTGCTATAGTCTGTGTACCATCCTGAGGTTTTTAAGGCATTAAAAACCCTTTGGAGAAGTTAAAAATAGAGACTTGATAAATGTCTAGGAAAGACCGAGCCACTCAGATTTTCCAACAGTTTCATAAAAGCAGTAAGAGACTCTCCTATCTAGAGAATGTCTGATACAGAATTTTGTTGCACCTACTTGTCCTTGCTATAGTTTTCACTTAAAGGTGAGTGGTCATGCATCAGTTTGTTTCTTTGCCTTTTGAACAATAGCTAATAATTTTGTTGACTAGTGAACCTTTTTCCTTCTCTTCAGTATGAAAAAAAGCAGCTGAAAAATTTGCTCTGTTCTGGGCCTCCCTGGTGATGCAGGGGTTAAAGTGTCAGCACTATCAAGCTATCTCCAGCCACTGCAGCTTGAGTTGGAGCCCAGGCCAGGGAGCTACCCACATGGCGCAGCAGACCTCTCCTGTCTCCCCGCTGCTCCCCTCAGCAGTGGATTTCAGTAGATCTGCCTATTCTGCTCCCCACTCTGTCTCTGGTGAAACCTCTCACAACCTGTACCTCTTGCCTTCACCCTAGTTCTTGTGTTCATAAATAAATAAATAAATAAATCTTTTTTTAAAAATTTACTCTGTTCATTTCCTCCAGACGGCGATGGAGGTGATGCAGTTCAGCAAGGAGGAGGTTCGGGAGGTGTTGAGGCTGCTTGCTGGAATACTGCATCTGGGGAACATAGAGTTTATCACCGCCGGTGGGGCTCAGGTGTCCTTCAAAACAGGTAAGATCGCGCCTACCCTCCTTCCCACCCCTCCTTGGAAAATTCCTATTAGGTGACTTTGACCTAAGGTATTAACTGTCCCCTTTACCAAAAAAAAGACTTCTGACCCCTGGATGAGAGCTGCAGAATTTTAACCATATTTGATGTGAACTGTCAGCCAAGAAAGGCTTAGGGTGTTCGGGAAGTTGTTGCTGAGTGGATGGTGGCTGTGTTCTCGTCCTTAGCTTAGGCAGAGGAAGACAGGCTGTGTAAGAGGAAATACGAAGGTCAGGACCCGGGGCCTACAGCTTCCCTCGTTCTTTGTACTTAACTCGGGGGTGCCCCAGCTCCCCATCCAATGCTGACTTCACAGCTGTCCCTCCCCATGCACATTCGTCGGGGTGATCTGTGCCCTGGACGTAGCGGCTTCTGTGTTGTGAAGTCCTCAGGGCTGTGCTCAGCTCGACGAGTCCACACGGATCCAGCTCTGCCGGCTGCATGTCCCTGCAGTGGTCACGGGTTTCCTGTGAAAGCTCTTCGGGTGGCAGCCATCCACGAGGCCAGGGAGGCTGGAGCTGCAGCATTAAAGCGAAAATGGCCCAGAGGAACCAGAGTGGCCAATCAGGAGTTTTGAAGCCCTGGTCCCGGCACCTCTTCATTGTCTTAAAACACAGAGACCCCAGAGAGCCTTTGTTTGTGGTTCGTATCTGTTGATACCACATTGGCAATTAAACCTAAGGCTCTTTTTTTTTTAAGTTAATGCATTTCAAAATAGCTATAACATACCCATTGCATATTTAAATAAATGCGTTTTTTATTCAAAAGACTGTTTCCTAACAGTGGCAATGTCCTACAGCCTGGCCCATGTCCTTGCCCTGTGCTGTGGAGGACAACTAGCTCCCTGCTTGTTTCTGTGCTCAGATCTTGAGGCACCTCATGTCCTGTAGCCACTGGCAAATCTGCACACTGGAGAGAGAAAGCCTGTGAAAGCAAATAACATCCTAGTAGTATTGCTGGAAATGGTTGTGACCTTGTAAATCTCTGATAAATTCCTGGGTGTCTCCCCAAGAGGTCTTCAAACCATACTATCCAAGCACCAGATTCTCTGCCACTAACCTGGGACTCCTTAAGGGAGAGCAGCACAATAAATCCACAATGAAATGTGTATTCTGCAAATGCTGCCTGAGGGATTCGGGAATGTTCTCTGCTGGATGTGTGACTGTGTTCAGTCACCCGTGACCTGTCCTTCAGAGGGCCTGTGTGTTCACACTATCCTTGGTCTCCGTTTCCAGCCCTGAGCAGGTCTGCAGAGTTACTCGGGCTGGACCCGACGCAGCTCACAGATGCCCTGACCCAGAGATCCATGTTCCTCAGGGGCGAGGAGATCCTCACGCCACTCAGTGTCCAACAGGTACGTTCTCTTGGCCTCAGAGCTGGTTTTTTTTTAAGATTTTTTTTAAAAGGTTTATTTATTTATGCATATAAGAGCTAGGGTGTGGACCAGAGATGCAGGGGTGAGAGGACCCATCAGAGACAGAGCAGGGAGCAGAACAGGCAGACTGACTGAAATACACTGCTGAGGGGAGCAGCGGGCGAGTCAGGAGAGGTCTGCGGTGCCATGTGAGCAGCTCCCTAGCCAGGGATTGAACTCGTGCTGTAGTGGCTGCGGACAGCTTCATAGCAGTCTTTAATCCCTGTGCCACCAGGGAGGCTCGCCTCAGAGCTGGTTTTAAAAGATGCTCTGGGCTTCTAGATCCATGGCTTTGATTCGATAAGTAATACAGGAACCATGGAAATGAGTTGGGTTGTTATCAGGAAAAGATACCCACATGGAGGGGAATGGACAGAGTTGTGGATCGTTTTGTATCTGTTCTTGGGAAACGTTTTCACTGTGCCTCAGTTTCTCTTCCTTAAGACAAGGACGATTATAGGTTGCTTGTAAAGATAATCATCAATATATGCTAAGTGCTTAATGACTGGCACAGAGTAAGAGCTAAATAAACATTAACAATGTCATTATTATTATTAAAATAATGCAGTGATATATTTTCCTCTGTTCCTGTTTGAACAATTTATGTACACTTGGCCCATCAAATATCTGCTTCTTGTTGGATAAGTAAAAAAATGTTGAATGTACTTTGATGAAAACTTTAATGTGTACAAATAGATGAGAAGATGATGATCATGAAAAAAACCCAGGTCTTAATCACTGTTCTAAACCTGACAGCCTGGAATGTGGAGCTGTATATATCAGTTCGGAGTCTTTCCTATGACCTGAGATGTAACTGAGTTTGGCAGCCTGATATTTAAAGGAATTTTTGGCGAATTCTCCTGGAAAGCAAGTAAATGAGCTTCCAGTTTATCGTTCCCCTTGGCCTATTTTCCTATTGAATTGTATTGATTAACTCAAGATAGGGTGCACAGGTGCTTCCCTGTTTAGTATGCCTCCCCAATGGGACAGGATTGATGTACCGGGATGGTCCTTGGTCCACTGGAACCAGTGACCACACCTCCTTCCCCTGCAGGCAGTGGACAGCAGAGACTCCTTAGCCATGGCACTTTATGCTCGCTGCTTTGAGTGGGTGATTAAGAAGATCAATAGCAGGATCAAAGGCAAAGATGACTTTAAGTCCATCGGCATCCTTGACATCTTTGGATTTGAAAACTTTGAGGTATGTGTCCACCAAGGGGAACAGAAGAACTCTCTCTATCTGCTGATTGGCTGGTCTTAAACCAATATCTTGAAAATTGTTATTTTTTTTTCTCTGCAGGTACGTTTCTTTTGTCTTGCAAGTATTTTTCTTTCCCGCCTTTTCTTTCTGTGGAATACCGAAGGCACTAAAGATACTTGTTGAATCTTTGTCCCCCTTAGGTTAACCACTTTGAGCAGTTCAATATAAACTATGCAAATGAGAAACTTCAGGAATATTTCAACAAGCATATCTTTTCTTTAGAACAACTGGAATACAGCAGGTAAGCACTCAGAGAATGCCATTTCAAAATTTATTTTTTTAAAAAACAGACACTCGGTGAGTTGTAAAGCTATACTTTATCTTGTGCTTTTAAATCTTTCTACAGAGAAGGCTTAGTGTGGGAAGACATTGACTGGGTAGACAATGGAGAATGCCTGGACTTGATCGAGAAGGTAATGCATTGTCGGAGAATTGTAGCAGTCCCAAGGGTGTCCAGCTGGGCTGATTCATATTTATGGGAATGGAATAGCTTGCGCAAGCACGCACATCAAAGATGTGAATGTTTAGAACACAATGGACCATTTGGAAACGTGAATGTAAATGTGCAAGGTTGAATTTAAATACTTGGCCAGTCCAGACCTATTGTCTCACTGCACTCAATACCTGAGAACCAACAACGCAGATGGGCTTGGCTTAGATTTTAATTCAGCATCAAAAGCCTGTTGGACCTCAGGGATTGACCAGTTGTATAAGTTTTGTCCACAAAGTTGCAGTGGGTTCAGTTGTTATTATATTTGTTTTGGGTTTTTTTTTTAAAGATTTAGTTTTATTTATTTACGCATACAAGAACTGGGGTGTAGGCCAGAGGTGTGGGGGGGTGAGAGGATTCACCAGAGACAGAGTGGGGAGCAGAATAGGCAGATCTACTGAAATACACTGCTGAGGGCAGCAGCGGGTGAGACAGGAGAGGTCTGCTGCACCAAGTGGGTCAGCTCCCTGGTCAGGGATCAAACTCATCCTGCAGTGGCTGCCTATAGCTTGATAGCTGAAACTTTAACCCCTGCGCCACCAGGGAGGCCACCTGTTTTTATATTTGTACATGGAATTTAAATCAGTTGGATTTCTTTACAGTGTTCAGTTATGTCTGAATTGTTTTCAATCCAAGAAATGAGAATCCCTGACTTTTAACCACGTGATAGTGGAGAGGAAAAGGAGCTGTGAACAGTTCAGGGACTTACGTTTAATTTTTCATTCATTCAGCCTTTTTTTTCCCTTTCTAGAAACTTGGCCTCCTAGCCCTGATTAATGAAGAAAGCCATTTTCCTCAAGCCACAGACAGCACCTTATTGGAGAAGTTACACAATCAACACACTGTATGTCAAAACCTGCCAATTCTTAATTATGTCTAAATAGCACATCTGTGGATTAAGATGACACGCAAGATACTTCAGGGCCGTGCCCACTGTGCCTCCCACGTTTTAATTTTTCCTCAAACCAAAGTTCTCCTATTGCTAGAACTAAATTACAAATAAGCCAAAGGGGTAGATTTGGGGCAGCTTCTCAGAATACGCGCATTCACGATCTGTGAATATAGTGGGCAACTTTCTCAATCTGCTGTCATGATAATAGACAGGAGCTCGGGTTTTTGATAAAGTACGTCACAGAGTGGGTCCGAAGCCTGACACAGGATGGGTTGTAAAATTTTCACTCTGTCATAGTTTCTTCTGTTTGTCACTAGAAGTCAGTAATTGAAATTAGACATTCGCTTGTCTGTTGTTGTTTTTAGAATAACCACTTCTACGTGAAGCCCCGAGTTGCAATCAACAATTTTGGAGTGAAACACTACGCTGGAGAGGTAAATTCTTACTTGAGATTCTTTTGGGCATTTGCCTGATTGGTATTTACAGAAGTAATTTCAGAAGCCAACCCTAAATGTTGAAATGACTTCTTTTCACGGATCTGGTTTGTAGAAGAAGGTGCTCGGCCCTGAACTAGCACTGTTGATCCACTCGACTTTTCTCCTTTATTTGTTCAAAACAGGTTCAGTACGATGTCCGGGGCATCTTGGAGAAGAACAGAGATACCTTTAGAGACGATCTTCTCAACTTACTCAGAGAAAGCCGGTGGGTCTGGTCCTTCCTGAAACATCAAACCAATTATTTGTGCAACTGCTTTTACTTCACAAATATGGGACAAGTTCTTGGGGGGAAAAAGTAGATTTATCATCATTTTTCCTAGCCAGTATTTCATCAATAAAGTGACCCAAAGTGTACATATGAAATAATAGTAGCCATGACTACTGTTCCATAAGGAACATAAGAACAGTTAGCCCGGGAATTAGATATTATTAATCCCATAACACAGATGAGAAATTAAGACATGGGGTGGTTAAATGATTTGCCAAAGAACTGACAACAGGTAACCAGAATGCCACAGAGCCTCGTTCTCATTTGGTCTGCTTGGCTCAAGCACCTATGCTCCTAACCTGTCTGACCTGATTTCTTTGGAACAAACTTAGAGCTCTTTGTTCAATTGATCTCAGCCTTAGTTTTATAGGACCAGAACATCACAGTTAGTGCAAAGGATGTCATGAAAAATAAGTATCAATTTAGCCAGACTTATAAATTAATTACCACTCCATTTATTCATTCATGAGTTGTAAATTCACACAATGAAATCAATAGTTAAGGAAAACATGCAGAAACTTTTAATGATTAGCTTAGTTATTTGTATAAGTTAAACCAGGAGAGTCTTGAGAGAAAAGTAACCGTAAGCTTTCAATGACTGTCAGATTCAGCATGAACTAGAACAGAAACAAATATTTACTGTCCAGGGAAAGCAGATAGCCACTCACTAAAAAGTGGTAATCCTCAGGGACCTCCTTGGTAGCCACTGCAGCATGAGTTCGATCCCCGGCTGGGGAGCTAACCTACATGGTGCAGCAGGCCTCTCCTGTCTCTCCCGCTGCTCCCCTCAGCAGTGTCTTTCAGTCGATCTGCCTGTTCTGCTCCCCACTCTGTCCCTGGTGAATCCTCTTACCCAAGCACCTCTGGCCTGTAACCCAGTTCTTGTATGCGCAAATGAAAATAAATCTTTTTTTTTTTTTTAAAAAAAAAAAAGCTGTAATCCTCATAGAGATGTGCACCGTGGATGGCCAGCCTGTCCCATAGATAACTGAACCGGGTTGCAGAGGGGGCCCATCCAGAGTGTTAGCTGAGAAGCTCAGAATTGGATGTGTTCAAGCTTTCAACTTGTTTCCCTATTTACAACATTTTCAGCTATTTTTATTTTTAGAAGAGTTTTCAGACCTGTGAAAATGACAGAGTTCTAAAAATACCATAGCTTGCTGTCTATCAAAGCAGCCTCTTATTTATCAAAGTGGTACATTTAAGTAAAAGCAGCGTCTCCATTAAGCAGGTGAATTTTTCTGGAAAGCTGACAGGCGGGGGCTGGTCGCTGCATGATGCTGCATGTTTCGGGACCGTGAACTTAACTGTCCCCACTGCTGGTGTCTGGGGCAGGCAGGGGCTTGGGCTGCTTGCCTGCTGTGCTGTCTCACCTCAAATTTCTGTGACAGTTTCATGGAATCAAAGCCTTTCTCTGAAAGGCTCAACTTCAAAGGTTGGGAATTAAATAGCAATCAAAAAAGTGTTGGGGTAACTACATGGGAAGTGACATTGCCACCCTGGGGTGCAGATGCGCTCACAGCCAAGCCCCCAAAGCCCACTTTCCAGCCAGGACCACCAATCATGCAAGGATGATAGAAGAAGTTACTGAGAAGACTTGACTTTATTAGTAGTGGCGATGGATTTTATAGAAATGTTAATAGCTGCAGCAAGGCCAGCCAACATCCACACTTAGGAAGTGCCAGGCACCACACTCAGCCTTTTGTGTATTTCCTCATTTTATTCTCACCCCAGCATTAAAAGGTCAGTTCTAAAATTACCCCCATTTTCCGGGTGGAAAAATGAGGCCTAAAGGAAGTGGATTGTCTTATCTACATCCGACAGCTGGGAAGTGCCAGAGGCAGGAGTATATGTGTGTGTCCCCATCCAAGAAGTGTTGTATTTTGCCTGCAGTAGTTTTGCACAAAATCATGTTTTGTCTTTGCCATGTAAACATCACATAATCCTAGTCTGAAAGACAAATGTTCATTAAAAACAAGGCAAAATGAAAATTCAGCCTTAATCCCTAGATTTGTCATTTTAAACATTAAAGGGGGCAGAAGAGGTGGGGGGGTGGGCAGGAATTTATTACCAGCTTTTGCACAAGTGTCACATTTTCTCCCTGAAAGGGAAGGATTTTAAAACAGGTGAAATAGCTCAGGCGGAAATGTTCCTAAAAAGGACAGTATTGAACAAGCAGTTTCATAATCGCATCTCCCTTCCCAGCCCCACCCTGGAGGCAGGATTTGAACCCTCTGCCTTACTCGAGGTAGCACCTTTCCAGGTGTCATCTGGTTGGATCCTCCAGATGTTGTGAGATTCGGAGAAGAAACTTTTTCCTTACACAGGCGTGGATTGAGGCTTCAGAAACCTGCTCGGTGTTCCTTAGTGGCACTAAGTCATCTAAGCCACTTTCATCCAATCCGCCTCCCTCCTGCAAGACTCCAGGGCTCCAGGGGCACCAGGTGTTGGCCAGTGTCTAAGCACTCTTTAGCCATGACTGGTTCGAGATCTCTGGAAGCCGTCTTAGCTCGGCTTGGCCTTCACGTTACTTTCAGTGGGAAAATGCATTATAATTACAGTCATCCACCTCCTAATAATTAGGTGTGTGCTCCTCACGGTCCTCCTGCTCTCTGCCCGCACAGATTCGACTTTATCTATGACCTATTTGAACACGTTTCAAGCCGCAATAACCAAGACACCCTGAAATGCGGAAGCAAACACCGGAGGCCCACGGTCAGCTCCCAATTCAAGGTCAGTCTGTGCTGCTGCTGCTGACAAGTCAGTCGTCACCGGGACTTTAAGAATTGAAAATTGGAATTGGGTGTATGTGAAGTCTATGAGTATTTATTTTTATCATTTATATCATCTGTTTAAATCAGACAGTTTTAGGGGCCTTCCTGGTGGCCTAGGAGTTAAGTCTCAGCGCTATCACCGCTGCTGCCTGAGTTCATTCCCTGGCCAGGGAGCTGACTGACCCACAGGGCGCAGCAGACCTCTTCTGTCTCCCTGCTGCTCCCCTCAGCAGTGTATTTCAGTAGATCTGCCTGTTACTGCTCCCCACTCTGTCTCTGGTGAATCCTCTCACCTCTGCAACTCTGGCCCACACCCCAGTTCTTGTATGCATAAATAAATAAAATAAACCTTAAAATAATTATGATATTTAAGACAGTTGAGTATTTTAATAGGAAACTTGAGACTGTTGTATATTTGAATACTGGTATTAAGGAATTCATATTAACTGTTTTTAGACGTGATGGTATTCTAGTTGCATATGTGTGTTCTTATAACGCGTGCTGAAATACTGAGGGCTGCAGTGATACAGTGTCTGGGATTGCTTTTCTGCAAGGGGGAGGTGTGCATGACAGAGATGGGCAGGTGAGCTGAGATTAGCCATGTGCTGCAGCCGATGACCCATCATTACATGCACCTCTGCTTCTGCAAATGCCAAAAATTCTTCCCAATGAAAAACTCCTCAAAAAGAAAGCAGAATTACAGAAGATTGCCCTGCCTGGTTATTTGACCAAGGAAGTGAAGATTATGTATGGGTCAAAAACCCTGGGAGTGTTGGGAGAGGCTGTCATTTTGATAGAAATAATAAGTTAGTAGGAATAATAACTACAGTGACTACATCTCAAATTTTTTATATTAAATTTTGGAAAAGCCCACACAGTTACTTATTTTTTTTTTTATTGGCAGATTTTTTTCAAACAGTATTATTTCAAGGAAGTGATAAGAATTTTGTATATTGGAAATAATTCCAAGACCATGAATTGTACTCTTTGCTGTGTATTAGAATGACATAATCAAAACTAGAAATTACTCTTATTCCAATGATTATGTTGTTTCAAATTGTGGTTTCTGAGAGGCGCTGAGGGCGCCCAGCAATTGCTAGGAGGCTAAATCAACACGTACTTTCTTCTCTCCCATAGGACTCGCTGCATTCCTTAATGGCCACGCTAAGCTCCTCTAATCCTTTCTTTGTTCGCTGTATCAAGCCAAATATGCAAAAGGTAAGATTTACAGAATTCTAGACTGAGATTGTGTCTTTAAGGTCACCACCTCCTGGAGTGGTTACTCACTGATTTAGTTTCTCCCAAGTCCTTTCATTATGGATGGCTAGGTGTGTGCGTAACGTCATTATAACCCATCATCAAGTGGAAAATTCTCTTTATCTCTGGGGCCTGCTTCTCTCGGTTTGAATGATTCATTAAACTTTCAAGAAATCTAATTTAAAAGGCAGTACCTACCGTCAAACCATTGCTTTTTTTGTTTTTGTTTGTTTGTTTGTTTTTAAGCATTCAGTTCAAAATACTTGGGTAAGCACCAGAGTATTATAAACCTTTTTAGAATAAATAGCACGTATTTTCCTGTGGTTGAATTTTTTGCTTTCTTTTGCTTTATGGTAAATGTGTTGAAAAGTCTGTTTTCTATGTGGTAAGGCCAAATACCTTAACGTGATGGTTGTGACTAGTTAGAAGACTCGTGAGAGTTGTGTGTTCCTGGGCTGTGTTTCTGGGTTCTGTGATTTTTGCTTTTAATGCCACGTCCTGATGCCAGATGGTGCCCCCTGAGAAAGCACGAGCTGTTTAAACCAATTAAATTGAATATGAGCCGGACACCATTGCTGAGTCCAAGGCTACATGGGCAAGTTGCTTTAAAGTATTGTTAAGAGGGGGCCTCCCTGGTGGCGCAAGGGGTTAAGCATAGCACTGTGAAGCTATCTGCAACCACTGCAGCACAAGCTCGATCCCCAGCCAAAGCGGTGACCCACATGGCGCAGCAGACCTGTCTCGCCCGCTGCTCCCCTCAGCAGTGTATCTCAGCAGATCTGCCTGTTCTGCTTCCCACTCTGTCTCTGGTGAATCCTCCCACCCCCTGCATCTCTGACCTACACCCTGGTTCTTGTATGCATAAATAAATAGATCTAAAAAAAAAAAAAGACTAGTTAAAGTGACAGCACGCACATCCACTGGCGTGTGTTCCAGTCTCTATGCTATGTGGGTGGGCTCATGTTTTTGGTCTATACGACACTACACTTGAAACTCTGCCAGGGTCCTTTCCTCTTTTGCAACAGGGATCGTAATACCATTATTTCATCCTTCAAACGTGCAAGTTGTTTCCCGATTTCAAGTGCTGGGTCTTGGACTGCGCCTTACTGCTTATGCAAGTGAGCATTTAATTGAGGTCTTTCTTCCTCTCTTCATGGTTTATAATGGACTGAGGCAGTTTTTCTACAGTGCCATCTTAATCAGCTGGGCACCCCACCAGCCAGTGCTCTCATAAGGATAGAAATTTTACCTTGGGCCTCCCTGGTGGCACAGGGGTTAAAAAAAGAAATTTTACTTTTTATTGACATTATATTGCATTATACTAGTATGTAAGACGCAGGTGTTTGTTGTTAAGAATCAGCTTGTAGGGACTACACCAAGGTCACCACAAAAGTCCAATCCCATCCCTCCTCGTGCCCTTGTTCTTCCCCATTTACTCATCTGTCTTCCTTCCCTGTGGGAACCACTAAATGGTCTCATAGCCCAAAATTTTGTTTTTGTTTTTCTGTTTTCCCTAAATCCCACGTGAGAGAAATCTTATGGATTTTGTCTTTCTCTGATTTGGCTAAGCATAATATCACGTACTTCATTTATTTCACCTCTAGGACTAGGTCCACCCATCTTGTTGCAAATGACGGGGTTTCATCTTTTTTATAGTTGAATAGTACTCCATTTTGTGTACGTACACCGCAGCTCTTTCATCCATTCATCAGTTCATGGGCACTTTGGTTATTTGCAGTTCTTGGCTATTGTAGATAGCCAGTAAACATGGGGGTGCATTTATCTCTTCAATTGGTCTTTTAGGGATAGAAATGTAAACTTGAAAAACCCTGTCCCCGTGTTTTTGTTTTCGTAGGTGGCATAGAGTTATTTTTTCCTTTATGCTATCATAGCTTTTGAAATTAGGACTGCCTATCATATCAACAGCCAGAATATTAAAGAATTAAATTACCCCTTCCTGGCATTTTCCTTGCTGAGGTGTGATTGTGCCTAATTGCTTGGGCTTCTGCATTTTTAAAAATGTACCAACCCAACTTCACATTTCTTTTTTTTTTTTTTTAAGATTTATTTATTTATTCATTCATTCATTCATCCATTTATTCATTTATTTATTTATTTATACAAGCACTGGGTACAGTCAGAAGCGCGGGAGGGTGAGAGAATTCACCAGAGCCAGAGTGGGGAACAGAACAGACAGAGTGACTAAATACACTGTCGAAGGGAGCAGCAGGCGGCAGGAGAGGTCTGTGTACCATGTGGGACCCTCGCCGGCGGCCGGCCTGGGATCGAACCAGTGCTGCAGAGGCTGCAGGCAGCTCCGCAGCCCAGCGCTCAACCGCTGCGCCACCAGGGGAGGCCCCAACTTCACATTTCCATTGCATTGGCCCATCCCCCGAACTGTGGCTGGCACTAAGTAATACTCAGTAAGGGACTAGCTGTAGAAGACTTTGGGAAATTGTGTTGGAATCTTCTTGGAGGCACCTGGAAAGCAAAAGCACAGGCATGAGAACCGATTTGCCTGAAGTCTGACGTGTGTGCTCCTAAATGTGAAGATGCTAATTAGAATATGAAAATATTAAGTTATGACTTGCCTAGCTTTCCTTTGGCACCATTCAAAATATATTAGATCCGGGCCTCCCCGGTGGCGCAGCGGTTGAGCACTGGGTTGCGAAGCTGCCGGCGACCTCTGCGGCGCTGGTTCGATCCCCAGCTGCTCCCCGGCCACTGGAGGAGGGTCCCACATGGCGCCCAGACCTCTCCTGCCGCCCGCTGCTCCCCTCAGCAGTGTACTTTGGTCCTTCTGCCTGCTCTGCTCCCCGCTCTGGCTCTGGTGAATTCTCTCACCTTCCCGCGCTTCTGACTGTACCCAGTGCATGTATAAACAAAGAAACAAACAAACAAATAAATAAATAAAACATGCCTCTATTTAAAAAAAAAAAATATATTAGATCCTCACTGATGATCATAGTAAATTATGTGAACAATCTTCATTTGGAGTTTCTTCTAAGTTTGCTCTTGTCCAAAGATAGATGTTTCTAGAAATTTGGAGGGGAATGTCTTGCGTTCCTTTGTCCCAGAGGAGAGGAATTTCTGACTTGCAGGGATGAGACTGACCCCCTCACACTCTGGTCAAGCCTGCTGTGCATCAGGGAGACATGAGAAGCTGTGTTCATACAGGCGTGTTTGAAGGGATTCTGAGAATTGTTCCAGAAGGTGGATCATGGACTTTGGCAGACTCTAGAGTTTGTTTGTTTGGCAAGTTCTGTGGCTGAAAAGGAGTAAAAACAGCAGCTGCAAAGTCTGTGGCCTTAGAGAAAAGCAAAGTAGCTGCTTTTGTGCTTTAAGGGCCTGATCCCAGTCTCCCGCATGGCCTGGTGAGTCCCGTGAGGCAGATGGACTCCCTCCCTAGCAAGTGTTTGGAGCTCAGAATGGGTACTTGGGCCTAAAGAATCTAAAGGTCCGTTGTGGGGAGTATTGCAGGGTTTTATTATTTAGGACTTTTGTGTGTTGCTCTGAGAAGCAGGTGCAACCCAAGAGAATATAACTAAAAAGCTGCAACAATTCAACTGATAATATATGAACTTTTCCCTTTGTTATAAATAACTTGTAGCTAATCTTGGGTGTTGTATAAGAGACTTTCTCTGGTGGGAACTGCTGCTGCTGGTGCTATGTTATAGAGTGAGTTAGGTAACTATACCTGTTGATAGGTTTTAATCCCTCACTAAGCTCAGAAATTTTCAGAGGTTACCAAGAGCAGATTTTTTGTGTTCGAGGATTTTTGGCCGGTGATGTGGCCTGCTAGTTTTTCTCTATTGTGGTTTATCTAGGCAGCCGTTTCTTCTCTCAAAAGTGCCCAAACCAACCTCAGGAGATTTCTCTATCAAAGAAAACCTGCCTTCCCTCCTCAGAATTTCTCCCCAAGGGTGTCCCACGCCTCTGAGCTCCCTTCTCTCCACATGTGATATTTTAAGCAAATAAGTTCTAGTCAGAAAAGTCTGTCATTAACATTCCTCAGAAAAACCCTGAGGAGCTACAGGACAGAATTTAAAAAGGGAAGGGATTGATAAATATCAGAAAAATCTTCTGAGTGTGAGAATTAGTTGTCTGTGGTTCCCAGCCCCCAGCGTGAGGCTGGTCACACTTCTGCAGAAGCAGTCAAGGCTGTTTCTTGACCGACCTGACTCACCTCATGCTTCCCCCCAACCCCCACCCTGCCGTGGGCTTGAGGTAAGGAGCCAAGGGTTCTGGAAAATCCTTGATACCTGCAGCTTCATCTTCAAGTGTTCAACCTCACATAACGATACGCTCAAAAACAGTGTCTTCTCCAAAAGGCAGGACTTGGGTCTCCTGAGTTGGCTGGTGAAGGAAACATCTAGCACAGGTGGGTACTGGAGAAAGGTTTAGCTAAGGGAAGAGTGAGGAACTGAGGAGATGCATGTCCTGCTGAGGCAAGGCTGGAGGCCAGGTCCAGAGGAGGGACGCTATGAGGTCTGTGAGAGGGACCTCGGCCATCATTGCCAGAAAATGGACATGATGCAGGAGATGGAAGCCAGGGCCATAGGGTCGGCCCAATGATGGTGGCCTCGAAGTGTTATAGGACAGGGAGAGGGGCAGCCCAAACCCCGCAAACCTGCCTATTCTACATGGGTTCTGCCATCCGCCGCATCAACACAAAACATAGGAGACTTTAATGGGAAGGAACTTTAATAAAACTAGGAAACAATACAGGTAAGGCAAAGAGTCTAGTTTCTAAATGAAGCATCCAGAGTTACCCGTCCCCTCGTGGGTAAAAGTCCATCCAAATGGGATTGGCCCAGAGCAAAGCCCCAAAGCCTGCCACAAGTCTAAAGCATCTTCCAGTGGGGACCCACAGAAAAGGGTCAGAAACAACCAGACATGCCCGGAAGGAAAAGAGCAAAATCAACATCAAGATAAAAGCTGCCATGGTCACCTCCCCATGG